CAATTCTGTTGAGCAGTTTTTGTGGAGAAGTGGATAGACTTAATCCCCTATTTCACTATATTCAGAGAGAAATTCAACAAAACTTATGTAAGTTCAAACGGCATTAAAATTGGAAAAATAAATAAAATACAAAATCAAAATATGAGATGCACGCCTTTAGAGTCCCTATAAAGCACATGTGTAATCTAAATGAACTCCATAAAGTAGTTTTGAGGAGAAGTGTATAACGTTCACCCCCTGTTGGATGGAACGAACAGGCTGAATAGCGATAAGAAATCAGAATTATCTGAACAAGATAAGACATCTCCATAGGGAGGAACCTACATGTTAAATTTCAGCTTCCTCTATCACAGTACCTGACAGTATTTTACAAAAAGTTCAAAGGTCAGTGTTGAGGTTATCAGTAGTCACAGGGCCCTGTATCTGGTAGTCTAAAGCCAGAGGAATAACCTGCTTGATGTGCTATGGGTCCTTCAGTCCATTGCCTTTGTGGCCAATACATTGATTGTTTGGGATTTTGCCAGGGGGGACTGACATGATTCAATTGGACAGCCTGCAATCCCCGGACATTGAATTTGTTTCGCCATTTTCACTGTATGGAAAGGTGTAGGATGGTTCAACTTTGGCAGGACCATCCTACTGACTGCCTCTCCAAATATTGGAAACTACTTCTTTATTTGGTTTTCCATGGTTCGGAGTCTTGAGGGTCTTGTTGAGACTAGGTGGGCAGGGTAACCGGTCAGTGTAGGGAAGGTTAGCTTCAGATGGTTTACTGTGATAAACCATTAAAGTAATGTCCTCCAACAACAAATGGCATCAAAGGAAACTACAAGAAGCTAATGACATCAGGAGATCCCAACCAGCAATGAACCCTGGCCATGGAATATATCAGCCTCGTGCTTGAGACTTTTATTATTTGTGCTGGCTTCCTTGTCTTTGCTGGTTTTACCAGTGCTATTATCCCCCTTTGAGCATTACCTATCAGTGCATGGGCACCTAACAGCAATATTTATGCCTGGATTAATTCCTGGCCTCACGACTGTTGTTGTTTCACATGTACACATTTGATTCCTAGTCTTCCATTTACCTGATGAAGGAATAAAGAAGTAAAGAAGCTGACATCCAAATATAGTTTTCAAGTAATTGGATCAAATACAGTGTCATCGGAAGAACAGAGGAATGGATGGAATTCCCGGATATAACTATATACCATCAACACTTTTTAGGTGAATAAATTTTATTTGTTTTGAGAAATTGAAAACGTAATGAATGTATTGCAGCAACACTGCAAGGAAACAAGTTAACATGACCTTGTTCAGGCCAGCTGAGCTAACTTGTACCTGTGAGCTACAGAAATGACAGGTATTTGACTCACTTTAAACTGCCATCCATGTCTTTGGGGCCCAGGATGTGTCCAGGGATCCAGCCCTCGGCGGCTGGGGAGTTGTGGTTGGCCGCCCGATGAACAAGGAACATGTTGGTGGGATTGGTGGCCAGGATCTGCACCAACTCGCCGCGGAACACCGAGATCTCGTCCTCCTTGATGGCCACATAGTCCACAATGATGCGTCCCTCTGTGACCCCACCCTCCAGCTGGGGACAAACCAGGGGCAGTGAGTAAGTCCCACCTTGCCACAGCCCTGACTCACAGGTGACCCTCCACAATAACAATACCCACCTTGTCAGAGCCCTTCCTCACAGGTCACCCTCCACAATAACCACACCCACCTTACCACAGCCCTTCACCCTCCACAATAACCACACCCACCTTACCACAGCCCTTCACCCTCCACAATAACCACACCCACCTTACCTTAGCACATCCCCCTCCACCACACCCACCTTACCAAAGCCCTTCACCCACAATAACCACACCCACCTTACCACAGCCCTTCACCCTCCATAATAACCACACCCACCTTACCACAGCCCTGCCTCACAGGTCACCCTCCACAATAACCACACCCACCTTACCACAGCCCTTCACCCTCCACAATAACCACACCCACCTTACCACAGCCCTGCCTCACAGGTCACCCTCCACAATAACCACACCCACCTTGCCACAGCCCTTCACCCTCCACAATAACCACACCCACCTTACCACAGCCCTTCACCCTCCACAATAACCACACCCACCTTACCACAGCCCTTCACCCTCCACAAAACCACACCCACCTTACCACAGCCCTTCACCTCCCACAATAACCACACACCTTACCACAGCCCTGCCTCACAGGTCACCCTCCACAATAACCACACCCACCTTACCACAGCCCTTCACCCTCCACAATAACCACACCCACCTTACCACAGCCCTGCCTTCACCCTCCACAACCACACCCACCTTACACTACACAGCCCTTCACCCTCCACAATAACCCACCCACCTTACCACAGCCCTTCACCCTCCACAATAACCACACCCACCTTGCCACAGCCCTTCACCCTCCACAATAACCACACCCACCTTACCACAGCCCTGCCTCACAGGTCACCCTCCACAATAACCACACCCACCTTACCACAGCCCTTCACCCTCCACAATAACCACACCCACCTTACCACAGCCCTGCCTCACAGGTCACCCTCCACAATAACCACACCCACCTTACCACAGCCCTTCACCCTCCACAATAACCACACCCACCTTACCACAGCCCTGCCTCACAGGTCACCCTCCAAAATAACCACACCCACCTTACCACAGCCCTTCACCCTCCACAATAACCACACCCACCTTACCACAGCCCTTCACCCTCCACAATAACCACACCCACCTTACCACAGCCCTGCCTCACAGGTCACCCTCCACAATAACCACAGTAAATCACAACTGGTTGGCAAATCCAGTACATGACCTGTTTACTGCAGCCCCATGTGGCTCGTAGTGTGGAAGGGCTGGTAGTGTGGAGGTGCTGTCAGTGTAGAAGGGCTGGTAGTGTGGAAGGGGTGTCAGTGTGGAAGGGCTGGTAGTGTGGAAGGGGTGTCAGTGTGGAAAGGCGGTTAGTGTGGAAGGGATGTCAGTGTGAAGGGTCTGTCAGAGTGGAAGGGCTGGTATTGTGGAGGGTCTGTCAGTGTGGAAGGGCTGGTAGTGTGGAGGGGCTGTCAGTGTGGAAGGGCTGGTAGTGAGGAGGGTCTGTCAGTGTGGAGGGTCTGTCTGTGTGGGGCTGTCAATGGAAGGGCTGGTAGTGTGGAAGGGGGTGTCAGTGTGGAAAGAGGTTAGTGTGGAAGGGATGTCAGTGTGAATGGGTCTGTCATGGAAGGGCTGGTATTGTGGAGGAGTCCATCATGGGAAGGCTGTCAGTGTGGAGAGCTGTCAGTGTGGAAGGGCTGGTAGTGTGGAGAGGGAGTCTGTCAGTGTGGAGGGTCTGTCCAGACAATGGAAGGGCTGGTGTCTGTCAGTGTGAAGGGTCTGTCAGAGTGGAAGGGCTGGTGAGTATTGTGGAGGGTCTGTCAGTGTGGAAGGGCTGGTGGTGGGAGGGTCTGTCAGTGTGGAAGGGCTGGTAGTGAGGAGTCTGTCAGTGTGGAAGGGCTGGTAGTGAGTGAGGAGGGTCTGTCAGTGTGGAGAGGTCTGTCAGTGTGGAAGGGCTGACAAGTAGTGTGGAGGGGCTGTCAGTGTGGAAGGGCTGGTAGTGAGGAGGGTCTGTCAGTGTGGAGGGTCTGTCAGTGTGGAAGGGCTGGTAGTGTGGAGGGTCTGTCAGTGTGAAGGGTCTGTCAGAGTGGAAGGGCTGGTATTGTGGAGGGTCTGTCAGTGTGGAAGGGCTGGTATTGTGGAGGGTCTGTCAGTGTGGAAGGGCTGGTAGTGTGGAGGGTCTGTCAGTGTGGAAGGGCTGGTAGTGAGGAGGGTCTGTCAGTGTGGAAGGGCTGGTAGTGTTAAAGGTCTGTCAGTGTGGACGGGCTGGTAGTGTGGAGGGGCTGTCAGTGTGAAGGGTCTGTCAGAGTGGAAGGGCTGGTATTGTGGAGGGTCTGTCAGTGTGGAAGGGCTGATATTGTGGAGGGTCTGTCAGTGTGGAAAAGTCAGTGTGCTTACCATAGATTCTTTACTTCTAGCTAAAGGTGCCATCAGACAGACAGAAATACAACAGCAAGATAGTTACCATATTGTGTGTGAGATACTTGTAAGCTAGACTGATGGTGAATGAATGCTAGCAGTAGCTTGGTATACGTGATACTTGTTTAGTTTAAAATCAATATTAGATAGTCACTCCACATCACAACACATTAGTGCTAAAGCAAATTAACTGCAGAATTAAAATCACAATAGAGGTCAATAATTGAACTTAAGTGTTAAATGTGTACATCATATATAGGGTGTGTATCATAGCTCAGGTAAAAAAAGATCTCAATCAAACAGAGACAGCATATAGACTGGTAAAGGGTAATGAAACATGTTTTCACTTATCAATCGCCAGCTAGGATCATATGGATGACAACACTATCATTGTCAAAGAATATGCAACCACTTAAACATTCTTTACTTGTTCATGACACATGTATTCATGACTTGTGGAGTATGAGATCTAGGGGAGGGGAAAGAGTTGGGATTTGTTGGTGTAAAGGAACAAAAGGTGTTGGTATAGTCAGTATTGTATTGGTGTTGTCAAGGAAGGTGTAGGTGTAGTCAGTATTGTATTGGTGTTGTAGAGGAAGGTGTTGGTATAGTCAGTATTGTATTGGTGTTGTCAAGGAAGGTGTAGGTGTAGTCAGTGTTGTATTGGTGTTGTAAAGGAAGGTGTAGGTGTAGTCAGTGTTGTATTGGTGTTGTCAAGGAAGGTGTTGGTATAGTCAGTATTGTATTGGTGTTGTCAAAGGAAGGTGTAGGTGTAGTCAGTGTTGTATTGGTGTTGTAAAGGAAGGTGTAGGTGTAGTCAGTGTTGTATTGGTGTTGTCAAGGAAGGTGTTGGTATAGTCAGTATTGTATTGGTGTTGTAAAGGAAGGTGTAGGTGTAGTCAGTATTGTATTGGTGTTGTCAAGGAAGGTGTTGGTATAGTCAGTATTGTATTGGTGTTGTCAAGGAAGGTGTTGCTGTAGTCAGTGTTGTATTGGTGTTGTCAAGGAAGGTGTTGGTGTGGTCAGTATTGTATTGGTTTTGTCAAGGAAGGTGTTGGTGTGGTCAGTATTGTATTGGTGTTGTCAAGGAAGGTGTTGGTGTGGTCAGTATTGTATTGGTGTTGTCAAGGAAGGTGTTGGTGTAGTCAGTATTGTATTGGTGTTGTCAAGGAAGGTGTAGGTGTAGTCAGTGTTGTATTGGTGTTGTAAAGGAAGGTGTAGGTGTAGTCAGTATTGTATTGGTGTTGTCAAGGAAGGTGTTGGTGTGGTCAGTATTGTATTGGTGTTGTCAAGGAAGGTGTTGGTATAGTCAGTATTGTATTGGTGTTGTAAAGGAAGGTGTAGGTGTGCTCAGTGTTGTATTGGTGTTTGTCAAGGAAGGTGTAGGTGTAGTCAGTATTGTATTGGTGTTGTAAAGGAAAGTGTTGGTATAGTCAGTATTGTATTGGTGTTGTCAAGGAAGGTGTTGGTATAGTCAGTATTGTATTGGTGTTGTCAAGGAAGGTGTAGGTGTAGTCAGTATTGTATTGGTGTTGTCAAAGGAAAGGTGTAGGTGTAGTCAGTATTGTATTGGTGTTGTCAAAGGAAGGTGTTGGTATAGTCAGTATTGTATTGGTGTTGTCAAGGGGAAAGGTGTTGGTATAGTCAGTATTGTATTGGTGTTGTCAAGGGAAAGGTGTTGGTGTAGTCAGTGTTGTATTGGTGTTGTAAAGGAAGGTGTAGGTGTGCTCAGTGTTGTATTGGTGTTTGTCAAGGAAGGTGTTGGTATAGTCAGTATTGTATGGGTGTTGTCAAGGAAGGTGTTGGTATAGTCAGTATTGTATTGGTGTTGTCAAGGAAGGTGTTGGTATAGTCAGTATTGTATTGGTGTTGTCAAGGAAGGTGTTGGTATAGTCAGTATTGTATTGGTGTTGTCAAGGAAGGTGTTGGTGTAGTCAGTATTGTATTGGTGTTGTCAAGGAAGGTGTTGGTATAGTCAGTATTGTATTGGTTTTGTAAAGGAAGGTGTTGGTATAGTCAGTTTTGTATTGGTGTTGTCAAAGGAAAGGTGTTAGTATAGTCAGTATTGTATTGGTGTTTGTCAAAGGAAAGGTGTTGGTATAGTCAGTTTTGTATTGGTGTTGTCAAGGAAAGGTGTTGGTATAGTCAGTATTGTATTGGTGTTGTCAAGGGAAGGTGTTGGTATAGTCAGTATTGTATTGGTGTTGTCAAAGGAAGGTGTTGGTGTAGTCAGTGTTGTATTGGTGTTGTCAAGGAAGGTGTTGGTATAGTCAGTATTGTATTGGTTGTCAAAAGGAAGGTGTTGGTGTAGTCAGTGTTGTATTGGTGTTGTAAAGGAAGGTGTAGGTGTGCTCAGTGTTGTATTGGTGTTTGTCAAGGAAGGTGTTGGTATAGTCAGTATTGTATGGGTGTTGTCAAGGAAGGTGTTGGTATAGTCAGTATTGTATTGGTGTTGTCAAGGAAGGTGTTGGTATAGTCAGTATTGTATTGGTGTTGTCAAGGAAGGTGTTGGTATAGTCAGTATTGTATTGGTGTTGTCAAGGAAGGTGTTGGTGTAGTCAGTATTGTATTGGTGTTGTCAAGGAAGGTGTTAGTATAGTCAGTATTGTATTGGTTTTGTGTAAGGAAAGGTGTTGGTATAGTCAGTTTTGTATTGGTGTTGTCAAGGAAAGGTGTTGGTATAGTCAGTATTGTATTGGTTTTGTAAGGAAGGTGTTGGTATAGTCAGTTTTGTATTGGTGTTGTCAAAGGAAGGTGTTGGTATAGTCAGTATTGTATTGGTGTTGTCAAGGAAGGTGTAGGTGTAGTCAGTATTGTATTGGTGTTGTCAAGAGGAAGGTGTTGGTATAGTCAGTATTGTATTGGTGTTGTAAAGGAAGGTGTTGGTATAGTCAGTGTTGTATTGGTGTTGTCAAGGAAGGTGTTGGTATAGTCAGTATTGTATTAGTGTTGTCAAGGAAGGTGTAGGTGTAGTCAGTATTGTATTGGTGTTGTAAAGGAAGGTGTTGGTATAGTCAGTATTGTATTGGTGTTGTCAAGGAAGGTGTTGGTATAGTCAGTATTGTATTGGTGTTGTCAAGGAAGGTGTTGGTATAGTCAGTATTGTATTGGTGTTGTCAAAGGAAGGTGTTGTTGTAGTCAGTATTGTATCCCATACGTTTACAGCTGACAAAGAAACATGTTCTTTAAACAATCAAATATAATGTTTTCGGGAAATTATAACACGTAACAGTTTTTCAAACTGGAATAAAGTCTGGTCAAGTTGGCCTGCATGGCAACTATTTTCATGATGTCCATGGTTACATATAAGCAATCAATCAATGTATTATTGGCTAAACCTCTGAACAAAGGATGTTTCTACACACACTTTACAACAAGGTGTGGGGTTTACAATTCGATTAGCAAACTTACATACATACACACTAATCTTTGGCAAATCCACTGTGCAAGATAACAGTGATTAATCAAATCAACGTATTATTGGTTTATCCTTTGATCAATGGGTGTTTTTGTATTTTATTCAACTGATACTTTCTCTCCTGCTGTGCTTCCACACACATATTACATAAGACGTTACACATGTGCCACTTCAGACCTGAATTACAGGGTTGAGTATTACCTCAGATAACTTCACACACTTTCATTGCTGTGATACTTTATTAAAATAAATGACTAGAATCTCCAAGGATATTTCCGAATAACAGCAACTTTTATGCAAGCTTGTTTAGCTTGAAGAAGTTAATTAACATGTGCCCTTTGGTATGTTTTATATGCACACAAACACACTCTCAAAGCTTATGTCACTGTCCTAACAGAGAGTAGCCCAGTCTCATGTCATGCACAGTTGTGTCCACTAGTAAATGTGTCATGGCAACAAATGAGACCTAGGTGGCAGGGTTAGATTGGCGGGCCGGATTAAAGCCACAGATAAGTGTTGGTGTACAGGTTGGTGTGGCTAGGCAAGTTGTTGGTGTACAGGTTGGTGTGGCTAGGCAAGTTGTTGGTGTACAGGTTGATGTGGCTAGGCAAGTTGTTGGTATACAGGCTGGTGTGGCTAGGCAAGTTGTTGGTGTACAGGTTGGTGTGGCTAGGCAAGTTGTTGGTGTACAGGTTGGTGTGGCTAGGCAAGTTGTTGGTGTACAGGTTGGTGTGGCTAGGCAAGTTGTTGGTGTACAGGTTGGTGTGGCTAGAGCAAGTTGTTGGTGTACAGGTTGGTGTGGCTAGGCAAGTTGTTGGTGTACAGGTTGGTGTGGCTAGGCAAGTTGTTGGTGTACAGGTTGGTGTGGCTAGGCAAGTTGTTGGTGTACAGGTTGGTGTGGCTAGGCAAGTTGTTGGTGTACAGGTTGGTGTGGCTAGGCAAGTTGTTGGTGTACAGGTTGGTGTGGCTAGGCAAGTTGTTGGTGTACAGGTTGGTGTGGCTAGGCAAGTTGTTGGTGTACAGGTTGGTGTGGCTAGGCAAGTTGTTGGTGTACAGGTTGGTGTGGCTAGGCAAGTTGTTGGTGTACAGGTTGGTGCGGCTAGGCAAGCTGTTGGTGTACAGGTTGGATGCGGCTAGGCAAGTTGTTGGTATACAGGCTGGTGTGGCTAGGCAAGTTCTTGGTATACAGGCTGGGGTGGCTAGGCAAGTTGTTGGTGTGCAGGTTGGTGTGGCTAGGCAAGTTGTTGGTGTAGGTGTTCATGCACGTGGTAGCCTAAGTGTTGGTGTTACTATGTTCTTGGGGTAGGCCTTGGACTTGGTGCAGGTTTTGTTAGACTTAGGTTTGGTAAATGTTTTAATAGCTTTGGGCTAAGTGTTGCTTGGGTACACATTGGTGTTGATGTGGCTAGGCAAGTTGTTGGTGTAGGTGTTGGTGTACATGTTGGTGTAGGTGTTGGTGTACATGTTGATGTTGGTGTACATGTTGGTGTAGGTGTTGGTGTATATGTAGGTGTTGGTGTACATGTTGGTGCAGGTGTTGGTGTAGGTGTAGGTGTACATGTTGGTGTAGGTGTAGGTGTTGGTGTAGGTGTACATGTTGGTGTAAGTGTAGGTGTACATGTTGGTGTAGGTGTTGGTGTATATGTTGATGTTGGTGTACATGTTGGTGTAGGTGTTGGTGTATATGTTGGTGTAGGTGTAGGTGCACATGTTGGTGTAAGTGGAGGTGTTGGTGTACATGTAGGTGTTGGTGTACATGTTGGTGTAGGTGTTGGTGTAGGTGTACATGTTGGTGTAGGTGTTGATGTACATGTTGGTGTACATGTTGGTGTTGGTGTTGGTGTACATGTTGGTGTACATGTTGGTGTAGGTGTTGGTGTAGGTGTACATGTTGGTGTACATGTTGGTGTAGGTGTTGGTGTACATGTTAGTGGAGGTGTTGGTGTACATGTTGGAGTAGGTGTTGGTGTACATGAAGGTGTTCGTGTACATGTTGGTGTAAGTGTAGGTGTTGGTGTTGGTGTAGGTGTACATGTTGGTTTAAGTGTAGGTGTACATGTTGGTGTATATGTTGATGTTAGTGTAGGTGTTGGTGTATATGTTGGTGTAGGTGTAGGTGCACATGTTGGTGTAAGTGTAGGTGTTGGTGTAGGTGTACATGTAGGTGTTGGTGTACATGTTGGTGTAAGTGTAGGTGTTGGTGTAGGTGTTGGTGTACATGTTGGTGTAAGTGTAGGTGTTGGTGTACATGTAGGTGTTGGTGTACATGTTGGTGTAGGTGTTGGTTTAGGTGTTGGTGTTGGTGTACATGTTGGTGTAGGTGTTGGTGTAAGTGTAGGTGTTGGTGTACATGTAGGTGTTGGTGTACATGTTGGTGTAGGTGTTGGTTTAGGTGTTGGTGTTGGTGTACATGTTGGTGTACATGTTGGTGTAAGTGCAGGTGTTGGTGTACATGTAGGTGTACATGTTGGTGTAGGTGTTGGTTTAGGTGTTGGTGTTGGTGTACATGTTGGTGAACATGTTGGTGTAGGTGTTGGTGTAGGTGTACATGTTGGTGTAGGTGTTGGTGTACATGTTAGTGGAGGTGTTGGTGTACATGTTGGTGTTGGTGTACATGTTGGTGTAGGTGTTGGTTTAGGTGTTGGTGTTGGTGTACATGTTGGTGTAAGTGTAGGTGTTGGTGTACATGTAGGTGTTGGTGTACATGTTGGTGTAGGTGTTGGTTTAGGTGTTGGTGTACATGTTGGTGTAGGTGTTGGTGTAGGTGTACATGTTGGTAGTTGGTTTGGGAATGTTGGTGTACATGTTAGTGGAGGTGTTGGTGTACATGTTGGTGTAGGTGTTGGTGTACATGTAGGTGTTGGTGTACATGTTGGTGTAAGTGTAGGTGTTGGTGTAGGTGTTGGTGTATATGTTGATGTTGGTGTAGGTGTTGGTGTATATGTTGGTGTAGGTGTAGGTGCATATGTTGGTGTAAGTGTAGGTGTTGGTGTAGGTGTACATGTAGGTGTTGGTGTACATGTTGGTGTAAGTGTAGGTGGTGGTGTACATGTTGGTGTAGGTGTTGGTGTTGGTGTACATGTTGGTGTACATGTCGGTGTAGGTGTACATGTTGGTGTACATGTTGGTGTAGGTGTTGGTGTACATGTTGGTGTACATGTTGGTGTACATGTTGGTATAGGTGTAGGTGTTGGTGTACATGTTGGTATACATGTTGGTGTAGGTGTTGGTGTACATGTTGGTGTTGGTGTACATGTCGGTGTACATGTTGGTGTTGGTGTACATGTTGGTGTAGGTGTGAGTGTACATGTTGGTGTAGGTGTAGGTGTTGGTGTACATGTTGGTGTAGATGTTGGTGTAGGTGTTGGTGTTGGTGTACATGTTGGTGTAGGTGTAGGTGTTGGTGTACATGTTGGTATACATGTTGGTGTAGGTGTTGGTGTACATGTTGGTATACCGGTTGGTGTACATGTCGGTGTACATGTTGGTGTAGGTGTTGGTGTTGGTGTACATGTTGGTGTAGGTGTTGGTGTTGGTGTACATGTTGGTGTACATGTTGGTGTAGGTGTAGGTGTTGGTGTACATGTTGGTGTAGGTGTAGGTGTTGGTGTACATGTTGGTGTGGGTGATGGTGTACATGTTGGTGTAGGTGTTGGTGTTGGTGTACATGTTGGTGTACATGTTGGTGTAAGTGTAGGTGTTGGTGTACATGTAGGTGTTGGTGTACATGTTGGTGTAGGTGTTAGTGTACATGTTGGTGTAGGTGTTAGTGTACATGTTGGTGTAGGTGTTAGTGTACATGTTGGTGTAGGTGTACATGTTGGTGTAGGTGTTAGTGTACATGTAGGTGTACATGTTGGTGTACATGCTGGTGTAGGTGTTAGTGTACACGTTGGTGTAGGTGTTGGTGTAGGTGTTAGTGTACATGTTGGTGTAGGTGTTGGTGTACATG